ATATTTACTTACCACGTAGGCTGTGGCATTCCAACGTGTTCCACGTCGCATAGCCGTCATCAAGGTGGCCATTTCCCCGCGCACCACATAGATGCCATTGCCAGGCAGTGACATTGTGTCTAGCCTTTGTTAATTAATCTTCTACAGCAGATAGCTGGCTTCCGCCGAAAAAATTCTCAAATTCGTGGGCAGCTCCTCTCTCCCTACCGAGCGTTCTCATACATATGTTTTCAGATCCGCCCTTTCTACCGCACACATGCACACAGCCACAGTCTTGTTTTGCGTGGAACAAAACTTGACGCGTCTTCTAGTAACACATTTTATACTTAATTATTAATAAATGTAATTTGTTTGCAACTAATTTTTTGGTGACGTTTACGTGTCTAGCCAGCAGTGTGACGGCCGACTTATCGATCAAAAATACCGAAATATACCTTCTCATTATTAAAATATACCGTAAAGCCTAAAACATTTCCCTCGATTTTGAATTTCTGGTTCATATTACCAGCTAGTTAGGACTCTTAGCACTAAATCAAGCATTTTATTCAATTCATCAATCCATTCTCCACAAGATTGGCTGACTGGTTGTCATAGCTTCTTTTTGTTGGTTCAAGCTAAAAAGGAAAATAAAATATATATTAGCATAAAACGTAAGACTGTTACGTCATTTGACCGCTTGTTGCTTGTCATCCGACTTTGTATACCCTATTTCCTTGATTAATTTTAAAATTCGGCATCTGCTTATAATTAATGTTAAAATTCCTTTATCTTAAATTGACATACTGTTAACTTTTCATTCCACAAGGGTACCCAAAGGGTACACGAAGAGTATATAATAAATTTGCCTAACCTTAGCGTTTAGCAACGTCAGCAAAGAAGACTGCAGGTCGCTTTACCGCACTAGATGTGCGCGCAAACAAAGCTTCGTATATATATGAGATAATAAAAATACCATAGAATAAAACCAAGAAACACAATAAAGATTGTTAGTGATATATGTAAGTATTTGGTACTAGCTTTGATCTTGTATTACTTTTTACAGTTATATGATGCCATGAATTCCATTAATATAAATCACTCATCAATAAAAAAATAGCTAGACTTAGCGGAAAAAAGCCAGACGTCCAGCACTAATGCAGTCAGAGTCGCACGTACTGTCAACAGTGGACAACAACAACAACGGAGCTGGTTGCTTTTTTTTTACGTGCGTAGGCTGATTTTATAAAGAAAAGTATTAGAATTCGTTTTAAATAATTTCAGACGACTAGAAACACTTGAATTGGGGCGACCGCACACGGGGCAGGTGGAAATCAGGCACTCAACAATACCAAAGCGCACCAGAACCCAAACAATATGGGAAACACTGATTCAAAATTGAACTTTCGCAAGGCAATTGTTCAGCTGACGCAAAAGAATCAGAAAATCGACCCCAGTGATGAGCAATTCTGGGAGCAGTTCTGGCAAGGGCACCAAACAACGCTTGAGGATGTGTTCGCTCTGGTTACGTCCAATGAAATTCGACAGATAAGGAATGATAACCCAGCAAACTTGGCCACTCTCTGCTATAAGGCGGTCGAGAAGTTGGCACAAGCGGTGGACAGCAGCTGCCGCACTCAGGCAGAGCAACAGTGCGTTTTGAACTGTGTGCGGCTCCTGATCAGATGTTTGCCATACATCTTTGAGGATGAAAAGTGGCGCGATTTCTTCTGGAGCAGTTTGCCGTCCCAGGAAAAGACAATGCCTCTGGCCCAATCGTTATTGAATGCCATTTGCGATTTATTGTTCTGTCCAGATTTCACTGTTACCTCAACACGTCGCGCTGGTCCGGAGAAGGCAGAGGAGCTCGCCAATATTGATAGCTGCGAATACATTTGGGAGGCTGGAGTCGGATTCGCCCAGTCGCCACCGCACAACGCCCACATGGAGCGCCGGCGCACAGAACTCTTGAAGCTGCTGCTCACTTGTTTTTCAGAGCCGATGTATCGTTTGCCTCAACAATCCGAGGAGCCCAACAAGTGGATAGCTTACTTCACCTCTGCCGACAATCGTCATGCCCTCCCTCTTTTTACTTCATTTCTGAACACAGTGTGTTCGTACGATCCAGTTGGGTATGGCGTACCCTACAATCACCTGATCTTTGCGGACACCACGGAGCCCTTGGTGGAGGCTTGTCTGCAGCTCCTTATTGTCACGTTGGACCATGACATGGTGGTGCAGCAACAACTGACCCAACCAGGGCAGCCCTCCTATGACGAGGGAAACTGTGGGGACAATCTGTTTATCAATTATCTGTCGCGTGTCCATCGGGATGAGGATTTTCATTTTGTCCTCAAGGGCATTACTCGTCTGTTAAACAATCCCTTGGTTCAAAACTATTTACCCAATTCCACGAAACGCTTGCATTGTCATCAGGAGCTGCTCATATTGTTCTGGAAGATATGCGACTACAACAAAAAGTTTTTGTATTTCGTTCTGAAAAGCTCGGATGTTTTGGACATCCTCATCCCCATATTGTATCACTTGAACTACTCTCGGGCGGACCAGTCCCGCGTTGGACTAATGCATATAGGAGTGTTTATACTTCTACTGCTGTCAGGTGAGCCACTTCTTTATAATTGTCATCGCTGTTTTCAATGACTTAATTTGTGACATTTTAGGGGAGCGAAACTTTGGTGTTCGCTTAAACAAGGCCTACTCCGCCACTGTACCCATGGACATACCAGTCTTCACCGGAACACATGCAGATTTACTCATCACAGTGTTTCACAAAATCATTGCAACCGGTCATCAGCGTCTCCAGCCACTGTTTGATTGTCTGCTGACTATTCTGGTGAATGTTTCCCCGTACTTGAAGACCCTCTCTATGGTGGCCAGTGTGAAGCTCTTGCATCTGCTTGAGGCCTTCAGCACGCCTTGGTTTCTGCTGTCAGCACCAAGCAATCACCATTTAGTGTTCTTCTTGCTGGAGATCTTTAACAACATTATACAGTATCAGTTCGACGGGAACTCGAATCTAGTCTATACCATAATAAGGAAACGTCACGTGTTTCATGCCATGGCGAATCTCCCCACAGATATGGCCGGAATATCCAAGTGTATGAGTGGGCGTAAATCAGGTGGAAAGTTCAATTTGCCACGTGTACCGCAGCGGAGGATAGTAGCTGCTGCGCAAGAGCTGCCGTCAGCGCACGTGCCTGAAGAGTATAACGATGATGAGGATGAAGAAGACGAGGAGGAGGACACGATAAACGAGGAGCCGAAGGCTGAGGAAGATCTGGAATCGGAAACGGAATCCCATGAGCGGTCCCAACTTGAAGATCCGCAACCGGAGGTATTGACTGCTCAACCAGCCGAGCCGGGCACTTTGAAAGCATCCTTGCTCGACACACCAGCCATCAGTCAGATGACTGAGCGTGAGCAAGCGCATCCAAATGATAAAACGCAGACGGAGGAATCTACGGAAATCGTCCCTTACGAAAAGTCCCCCGTCTCAACACCAACAGGTGGTCGCAAATCTACCTCACCCACCGACCAATCACGGCTATCGGTGGCCCATCGGAGCAGCATTCGGATGGTTCCCGGCGAAGGGGATAGATGGGCGCCCACGCCCGAGTGGATTGTGTCTTGGCGCTCAAAGTTGCCGCTGCAGACGATAATGCGTTTGCTTCAAGTCTTGGTACCGCAGGTGGAGAAGATATGTATAGACAAGGGCCTAACTGACGAATCAGAGATCCTGAAGTTTCTTCAACACGGAACGCTGGTTGGCCTCTTACCTGTTCCCCATCCAATACTTATCCGAAAGTATCAGGCAAATGCCGGCACCACAGCCTGGTTCCGTACCTACATCTGGGGTGTCATCTACCTGCGCAATGTGGAGCCTGCCATTTGGTATGACACGGAGGTCAAGCTCTTTGAGATTCAGCGCGTTTAGGTCAGTATACGGGCATCACCAATCAAATCGCATCGGCAGCAATGTAACTAAAACGCTTTGGCATTTACTGTAGCTAAATTATTTAGTCCATTTATCATTCCAAAACAATCAAAGTTTATTGAATTCCTTTTAGCACATTGAATGTCTACTTCTCCAAATCAAACTCATCAAGAATATCTCCACTATGAGGCTTATCAGTTGTAACGATGTAGCGTGGTTTATTTGTGTCAGCATACCATTTCGATAATGGCTTTTAAAATTACTATTTTTACTTTTTCTCCCTCACTATTTCTCTCTATCTCTATATATTTCCAAATACATATTTATATTAATTTATTTCAGCAGTTTAAGCGTAACGTTATTGAGTGTTTTAGTTATGATCTAAATTATTACATTTTTATCTTTGTTTATTCCTGCATAAAGAAAGAAATAATGTTCCTTGTGCCGTATTTTAGTTGATTGCTTTAATTGTCTACAATTTTAATGTACGCAGCCTGTAATTTGTATCCAAACGAAGAAAAATTCACTGCTATAGTCGTATGCTTATTGGAACACGAAATAAATGAATGTCCAAATGGCCACATACTTATGCTCTCTGATTTGTTGCGTTTTCAGGGTTTCAATATAATCACCAAAATACTATTTATATTTATTTGAAACCAAATAAAAGCTTTACTTGCTCGTTTAACAATAGTAAGCCTTAGTTGAATTGTAAGCTTTGCTTAATATATTTCATTTAAACTAGCGACTTTATATTATAAAGAAAGGGTTAATATTTCATTAACTTATATGTGTTTAGAATCTATACAAGTAAATGCAAAATATATAAATGAAAATACCAATAAAATTAATGGCACCTATATAAAATAAATACAAATAAATATACATATGAGAAATAAAAAGAATATTAAGCCGATGGATGGGATTGGAGAGTTTTAATTTCCTAACTCCGAGTTTTCTTGCAATTTATTTAAAGAGTTCTCAATTAAAAACAAATTATCTTAACGAAAATGCTGAGCATTAATCACACTGAACATTTGTAACAAGTCTTCATTTGCCATCCTTCTTATTTAGAGCGTGCATCCAGAAGACATATTTCATGGTAAATATTAAAAGAAATGAAGCAGCCGCCACTATTCCAGGTTTCGTTGGATCAGTGGATCTCCGGCGCCCATTATTTTTCATGGTAGAATAGTTATGGGCACTTCTGTTGGGCCTGATGAAGAATGACGGGTGTAGCGCCATTGCTGTGAAATGAGTGGGACTTATCCGAGGCAATGGCGGTAGTTGTCACGACTGGGCGGCGGTGGGCGTGGAAGCGGCAGGTTGAGTCACAGGCAAAATGTTAAACTTTATATAGGAACCCTTGCTGCGTTTTTGAACTATTTTGCCAATGACCTGCGGTTCTGTAATGGTTTGTCCAATTGCCTTGACTATGCGCTCAGCGCTGCTTTCGTCGGATCCGCTGGCACTGCCTTGGATGAGTATGCGGACCTCGTGCCGCTTGCTCAGCCATTTGACGATATTCTTGAGACGCGACGAAAGATCATGCTCTGTGATTCGGGCCCCTATTGTCAGTGATTTCTCAGACTTTTTGTGGACTTTGTCGGTAGTGGTTGTCGTTGTTCCCACATCATCGGCTAACATTTCCGCAGAGGTGACAAGCCTGAAAGGATGTTAGTATAATTAATAATGAGTTTCTCTACTACTGCGTATTGAGTACCAACTTAAACATGGCGCGCCCCGTTTTGGTGTCTGTTTGCTCCAAACGCAACAGGTGCAGCTCTCGCCGCTTGGCCAACTTCTGTGCCTCCTCCAAGGTGGTTATGCTAACTGCCTGGTTTTGCTGAACAAGGGTAATTCTTTGTGGGGGGTTCTTTGGTTTCTGGTCACCTCCTGATTTGTTTCCAGGCGCTCCAGCCGTCCTTTGTGATTGCGCCAAATGCCAATAAAGCGACAAATTGCGGAGTTGTTGCTGGTGTTGGGCCATTGCTGCAACCTGTTGCACCCTCAACATGCTGCGCATCACAAATTGAAAACGTTGCATATGCATTTCAACTTAAATTGTTATTTTTACTTTTCACTTTTGCTTTTCTTTGTGCTTGTGCAATTTTTATGGACGCAGGGTTGTCAAGGCACATTAAGTTGCGTTGTTGCCGGCTTAATTTGAATGTGAACACACAAATCTATTCTGATTGAGCCTTTTTTATATCCTCTCGGTATTCCATAATAATTATTTAGTGTGGCATATCAAGTATGCTTGTTCATTTAATTAGAGTATCCAATATTATTTGAATGATTTGAATTTCCAAAAGAATTCGAGATGCTGACAGCCCTGGAGTGCAGCTGTTTAGCCAAGGTAAATAAAAAATCGGGTCTGTGCGTCTTTCCCTGACTCTCCTGAATTAGTAAAATAATAATAAATAAATAAAGCTACCAAGTGGAGTTCTTCGGAGTGCTAAATAGTCTCTCTTCCCACTTTCTACAGAGTGACAGTGGTAGCGACTAAATTATATTATCAACTAAATACATAAATCATTGGTTAGAAAACTTAGTGAATAAGTAAGTGTACACCTAATTAAGTATCAACTAGATGTTAAATTGTATACTTAATTTCTACCCCGGCCACCGTAATTGCGTCTTCTATTCGACGCTCGTTGCTCCTCCCGAGCTCGCTCCTCAGCATACCAGGCGGCTCTCAATGCCTGGCATTCCGGAGAATTCGAGTGGTGCTGCTGCAGAGGAGCCAGCTCGGGGTCACGGCATTTCTGGCACTCCTCCCACCTGCTGAATTTGTTCAGATTGCGATCGCAAGGATCTGTGGCATATAGCATGCATTCGTCGGCACAGAAGTTATAGAACCAAAACTGGCCCGTTATCGTTTGGTTTTGGCAGCGAGGCTGAACGGTGTGCAGCATTTGAAAGCAGCGAGTCGACATGACAGGATCAGTGTCGCCATTCTGGTAGCTATTGGGTCGTGGCCACGCTTCCTGCTGAGTGCCAGCACTAGGAATATCCGAATCCGAGGTAAGATACTCTCTGCTGTGAGTGTTGCCGGGATCCTGTCGCTGCCAAGGAGTCCGCTCTATATCCTCTAAGCGCGATGGTTTGTAGATGTCGCTGGGACGTTGTCGCGACCAGGGCGAAGGTGCTTCCGTTCTCTGATAAAAGCCGCCGTCCGCATTGTAATTGCTTTGAATCCTTGACTGTTTGTGAGACGAAGGCTCCCGACTCAGAGTTGTCTGTCGCTCCGGCAGCCACGCAGCATCCGATTTCTGTGTGTTGTCGCCCCAGTTGGGATTGAGACCCTTGAGGTTGCCAACGGCAAAGCCGAAGCCTGCTCGACTCTGATCTATTGGAGCCTCATCATAGCCTCTGTTAAAGTTTCCCTCAAATCTATCAGCGTCTACCTCTGGCTGTGGGCCATACATGCCTCCGCGGACTCGGCCACCCATGGGCTCTCCATAAGATGACATATCCATGTCCATGTCGCCACTAATCGATCCTGGCAGATTACCAAGGCAAGCTCTGCCCTCACATTTGCGTGTCTCCTGCAGCTCGATTCGATGTACACTCTGGCACTTTGGCTCGGCTCCCGGATTGAGGTACTGCCGCTGCCTCATTTCATAGCCCTCTCCGCAGGTCACGCTGCATGGACTCCAGCTGCCCCAACGGCTCAGTTGGCACTCGGCGCCACGTTGTTGGGACGATTGACGATTGTTGCCTCCCATGCCAAAGCCCATTCCCATTCCCATTCCCATTCCAGGATCTAGATCATCAAAGTCTCCAACATTACCCATTAGATTGAGCGAGCCGCACATCTGGCCCTGGCACTCGCGCTCGTCATACTGCGGCACATTGCAGTTGTAGATCCTCGCCAGCTCGGGCTGCTTGTAGACGCGTCGCCTGTACTGCATGCCATCGCCACACTTGGACGAGCAATCGCTCCAGCTTGACCAGGGATGTGTAAGACACTCGCGCGGTACCTCTGCTGGATTGTTGGCTGGGGGTTGGGTAAAACTTAGTTATTTATCAGAGCAAATGGGAGATGTTTGCTGCACTCACAGTCTTCATCCGCACAGCGCCGTTCGTAGATTCGTTGGCGTCGCACCGTCAGGACTGCCATGGGCTTCATGGGAGCCCCCGTTTCGTCGTAGAAGGGCGAGCGCGGATCATTTGGGAAGTCGGAACGCATGCGCCTGATGACATCTGGTGGGACCTGCGGCTGGTCCGGAGACTATCGAGTGGACAGGCACATGTTAATGGCACCATCAGCGACTGAATCTGCTCTCACCTACCGTGTAGCTGGGCCCCGCATCCGTGCCGACATCCCAGGGATACAGATTGATGACTTTCCCCTCGAGCCACGTGCAGTTCCGCAGACACAGCTCCAGCCCACTGATGCCGACTATCCAGTCGGGCGATGGCTCTATTTTGGAGGCAAACGACACCATGTGGTGCAATGGGTCCACTCGCACCGAAGCCATGGACTTGCTGCTCATGTTGGGGAACGACGGGCCGCGTGCCTTGATAATGGTGCGGATCTTTTGATCCTGTAAGAACTTGACATTACTTTACACTCCCAGCCAATCCTGAGAGTTATCAATTCACCCTAAAGTTGATGCTGAATTCCCGCTCAAGCAGCCGCGAGCTGCAGTGCTCCGCATATTGCTTGAGACCCTCGCTCGCCAGCGATCCCGATTCCCAGAAGCGGTAGTCGGAGCTGTGGGCAGCACCCAAAAGCTCACAGAAGCGTGTTTCCCAGCCTCGAGCAGGAAAGTCCCTTGGGTGCAGGTTGCGGGACCAGACGCCTTCAAATATCAGCTGCAATGATGGACAAAAAAATGGTTAATGCTGCACTGCCGATGCCATTGCCACGCTCACCTCATAGCGCGCCTCATCACAGGCACAGCAGGGAACTTCCAGCGAAGGAGTCGTTGGCTGGCTCTCGACATCGTCAACGACCTCCTCGCAAATGCGTCTGGTTAGTCCACCGTCATCCATGTGCCATACGTCGCGATGCTGCAGGACCGTGGCGCGCAGTAGGATGCAGCCGCTGCCGGGCTCACTGGGCGCCACCCAGGTCAGGTGCATGTGAGTCTTTGGATTGGTGTTGGTGTTCTCCACCATATTAATGCAGCTGGGGCTGAAGCGCGACTCGGTCATGTCGCTCAGCTCAAAGCGGCCGAGGTCGTCCCCATAGTTGAAGTCCCCATTCTCGTTCTCCAGCGCCAGAATGAAGCTGATGTAGCGATGTCCGTTGAATGCATTCAGGGAAACTGTGTGGTGTGGCGAAAGTGCGAGATCGTTCAGTTCTTTAGCCGTTCGTTATCGCTGACCTTGAATAGTCAAGCTTTCGAATTCGCAAGGGCCCGACGCGATAAGCCAGATCTACTCAAGGCACATCCCATCACATATGTATGTGACATGTGCGTAATTTGTTTACTAAACAATATAAACATTGCGAAATCGTGGCAGCGAATAATGCCACAAGGCAATCAACCTTCCCATGAAGTTCAAGCGCAAAAGCCAATGAACTGTACTCACCGTTGTACTCCTGTCCGAGAATATATGTTTCCGGATTGCCTGTTATGCTTATCACATAGTTCTCGTCTACTGGCGACTTGGGCGTGGCCGTGTTCGCCGGGCGGCGTGTACAGATCAGACTGCGGGCTGTGCCGATCGTCAGCGCCGCCACAAGCAGTGGAAACAGCGAAAAATATCTGATCCGCCTCATTCTGTAGAGAGGTCTAGTCCATTCGCTTTGAGCGACTGTTGCAAACTGAGTGAGAAGCTTTTCCCTTTTGCGAAAACTGAATCAGAGCAGGAGAGAGAGACTTGGCTTGAGAGACTCTGATAAGACCCAGAACTGTGGAGTCTGTTATATTTCTGACCCACTGGTACCAATAGACGGCGACTGGGGGCCCCTTATCAGCGCCGGAAAAACGACGACGAAAGCTTTGACTCTCTTTAAAATTGCCACAGAGAAACCGAAACTGAAACTGAAACTGAAACCGAAACCCAGCTGAAAGATTCTCTTTTAACTCTGGATGAAAGTCAAGAACATATCACCTCGACTCGTAATACTTTATTAATCCTCTTCGAACACATTCAGCTGCCATAACGACGCGGTCTGAATGAATCAAATGTGTTCCTTGTGTGTGACATCGGTGCTTCATCGATATCCCCTACTGCGGCGCCATAAGGTCCGCGTGTCTGGGCGTAGGATCCACCGCCATATAGATCCATGGCTTCATTTTCGCTTCGCTCCACATTCATCTGGGGCTGCAGGCATGTACCTTCGCAGGCCATCAAAGAACGGAAACGATTCTTGTTCTCATCGCAGTTGTCCGTGGTGAAGATCTTGCACTCGTGGTCATCGTGATCGTAGAACCAGTAGTTGCCCACAATCACCGGATTGGCCAGGCAGGGGCGCGTGGAGGCGATCGGCTTCTCGAAGCAGTAATCCTGCACCACATTGTAGGTGCTGCTGCCGCTGCTGCCCGGATCGGGCATGTCCTGCTGGCGACTAGGAAAACGTCCTCCATATGGAGATCTAGTGGTGAAGGCCAAGCCTGGCCGCAGGTTCGGGGTGCTGTAATCGTTGATGTTGTAGCCCGAATTGTAGTCATTGTAAGTGCTTCCGGGTCTGTTGCCCACCATCTTCTCACTGCCGTAGGTGTTGTAGCTAGGACGCTCTCGTTCCGAATCGAGTGGCTGCCGTGCTGTGTCATAGCCCCGGCGATTGCCGATTGGATCGAACGGTGAACGTAGCTGATTGTCTGTCTGGCCAAAGGGCGAACTGCTATCCGGCGATCTATCCACAGAGCCGTACGGTGATCTCTCAAAGGTATTGTCACTCTCGGCGTTGCTGAAACCCTGTCTCTTCCAGCCCTGATTTGCTGATCCCGCATAAGGATTATCCATTCTGTTGTTGTTACTATTTGTGCTCCAGCTGGGAGTCTGATTGGGTTCGCCGAACAGCTCTGGCTCCGGCAAACCGTCGAGCTCCCCGTTGTCGGGTATGGTGCCGCCACAGTCAGAGCCCAGACACTGTCTGGTCTCCTCCATGGGCAGGCGCATGACCGTCAGACATCGCTGCCTCGCCTGGGGATTGTAATAGTCGCGTGTGCGCGTGGAGATGCCTCGACCGCAGGTTTTAGAGCACGGAGACCACTCACTCCAGCTGCTCAGCTGACACTCGGCCATGGAGCCAGTACCTGTCGCACTCTCCCCACCCATACCCAAACCCACATCCTGGCCGGGGCTTCCAATTGCATACTCTTCCTCGCCCGGTCCGCACTGTGTGCCCTGGCACTGGCGCATCTCCTCCAGTCGAATGTCACAGTTGTAGTTGGCCGCCAGGTTGGCATTCTTGTAGCTGCGTATGCGCTGGGTGTAGCCCTGACCACAGCGGGTGCTGCAGTTGCTCCAATCGTTCCAAGGATGCACAGCACATTCCAGGGGTCCCCGTCCACCCTGCGACACTAAAGCCAAGGGTCAGAGAATTGGATTGAATTGAATTCTGGTTTCTGGTTTCTGGTTTCTGGCTATTCACCCTCTTCGCATTCGCGGATGTAGAGCTTCTTCCTTGTCAGGTGGAGCGTGGCCAAGGGCTTCATTGAGGTGCCGGTGTCATCGAAGAAGGGCGAACGGTAATCGCTGGGATACGAGGAAGATATCCGTCGTATCACATCTGGTGGAACCTGTGGCTGGTCGGGCGACTGAAGGACAAAACCCATCTTCAAATTGGACATCTGATCTGTGATTTGTTTACCCACCATATATGAGGGTCCCGAATCGGTGCCTATGTCCCAGGGGTACAGGTTCAATACCTTTCGCTGCAGCCAGGTGCAATTGCTGAGACACAGTTCCAGTCCTGCCACACCCAGTATCCAATCGGGTGAAGGATCGATTTTGGCAGCCAGCGAGATCTGATGATGATTCGGATCCACACGAGCATTGGCCAGCGTGGAGCCAAAGGCATTCAAGCGATGTGGAATGCCCGGCGCCTTGATGATGGTACGCACTGCGCCATTCTGTAAGAGATCTCCAGATGAGATGGAACAGTTCTTAGGAAGCAACAAGGATAAGCCAAACTTGTGTGTTGTCTCGGATCTCCTGCTCCAGGGTACGGGTAGCTCCATGCTCGGCCATCTCTCGCATGCCCAGGCTGGCTCTTCCTCCGTAGGCCCAGTAGCGGTAGTCATAGCTATGCGAGGCGCCAATCACCTCGCCCAAGCGCGTGCGCCAGGCCTCGACTGGAAAGTCCCTGGCATGTGTGTTCCTGGTCCACTTGCGCTCGAGGACGATCTTTGAAAAAGATTTAAGCTGTCAAAGTGCAACGCGCAGAGACTTCCACCGCATCCCACCTCGTACTTGGCCTCATCGCAGGCACAACAGCTCCGGAGTGGCGGTGTCAGGCTGTTCAGCTCATCAATTTCCTCGGGGCAGATGCGCTTGGTGAGGAATCCTTCATCAATGAACCAAACATCGCGCTGCTGCACCACCCCCGCCTTGATGAGGACACAGCCACTTTCGGGCGACTTTGGGGCCACCCACGAGACTTCGATATGCGTTTTGGCATTCGTGTTGGTGCTCTCGACCATGTTCTCGCAGCCGACGCTGAATCTGGTGTCGGGGGAGCCCACCAGCTCAAAGTGCCCGGTCATGTCCAGTCCGCTGAAGGCCGTCGTCTGATCCTCGCTCTCGATGACCAGCGTAAAGCTCACAAACTTTAGATTGATGGGACACGAAAGCGACACTGTGGAAATGAATGATAGAAATACATTCCTTTCGATGTGTCCCCGTCTCACCGTTGTACTGATGCTCGGGTACATAGGTCGCTGGATTTCCATCGATCAAAATGCGAAAGTTTTCATCCACCGCAGACCGTTCTCCGCTGGCTCCTTGCGGAATCCGACTGCACGCTCCCAGCACGCCCTGAATCACAAAAGTTTGAAGCAGAATCAACCTCACAAGTGCCCACATCGCGCCTCGTTCCATAGCTGTCCACAGCTCAGCATCGACTGACTGATGGGTGGATGCCTTGGTGCCGAAATTGGTCTATTAATCGATGAGCTTTTCAATTATCTCATCTTGATTGAGTTGCCGCCAATTGGAATTGTTTTTTTGTTTCAATCAACGGTTTGGCGCTTGGGTTCTTCGAACTTGGACCAGGCCGGACAACAGTCGTACATCAGATTTGGGTCAATGACGAAAGTGCCACGAAGCGGAAATACTCGAAGCAGAAGCTAAACTTTCGCCAGCACTTACTTCACTTCCAACTCATTTTATTCCCCCAGAAAGAGGGGAGCACCTGGCGGATTCTCATATATATTTTGTCATTCACTCGCTTGCGATTATATAATTAATTTATGACTAATACTTGTTGATGGACCATCGATCCTGCCACCCGCCTTTGTTACTGCTGCCTGTTGCCTACCACTTTTCAGCGTCGTCGTTGCTGTTGAGGAGGCACGGCATCATGACACACTTCTCCATGCGGACACGATCCTTGCACTTGTAGCTGAGATCCGTGTTGAGCAGAGTGCGGGTGCGCTGCCGGACAGCGTTGTCGCCACATGTGGCAGTGCAGGGCGTCCAGGCGGACCACTCCGAATAGCGGCACTCGTCCCGCGGATCGGGTGGCGGCGTCTTGGCCACATGACGTCGTTCCCCAAAGCCACCGCCGCTGATCGAGTAAATGTCGTCGCAGCGCTGATAGCAGCGATCGAGGCGCACCAGATGCTTGGGGCAGGGCTTGCCGCCGTACTTGGGAGAGCGGAGAACGCGGCGGGTGCGCAGCTGGTGGCCGTCGCCACAGGTGGCGTTGCAGTTGTGGGTGATCCACTCGGAGACGAGACAGTCGGTTGGCTGGAGGCGATCGTACTGGAGTTCCTGCTTGTGGCGAGGCCGGCGGCAGGTGTCCTCGCACTCCTCCTTCGACTTGAACTTGTTGCGGTTGGTGTCACAACGGTCCGACCAGTAGATGGCGCATTGATCGCTCACGTGGTCGTAGTACCAAAAGTTGGCCACGTCGCTGTCCCGGCAGGGGCTCTCGATCAGCTCCTCGTAGCAGAGGTGGGGCACGATGGTGTCACAGCTGGGATTCGTGCAGTTCACCTCCTCGTGGAGCTTGATGTGGCGGCAGGGATCACTGCCATCGTCGCTGGGATCGCGCACGCCGTACACCTGATTGTTGTTCCACACCTTGCGTATACGTTGACGCTTCCCATGGCCTCCGCAGGGGCCATGACAGGGCGAGAAATCCGACCAGGGCGTAATCCCACACACTGGCGGTATGTGCTCCTCCTTGTGCTGGCTGTAGCTCTCAAAGTTGCGAAAGATCGAGCGCTTCTCGGCCCCATCCTCCGCGTCTCCGCCCGCGTCTTCGTTTTCTATATCGCCCCCGCACTCCATGGCCTCGCACACTTTGGTCTCCTGCAGGCGCGCCCTGCTCGCCTTCTGGCACTTCTTCTTGGCCTTCTTGTTGAGGTAGTGCCTCGACCGTGTCTGCTCGCCCGTGCCACATGTCACAGTACACGAGGACCACTCACTCCACTCGGACAGCCCACATTGCGGATCGTCGGAGCCGGCCGCTGGATATCCAACCTCGGGCTGCACTCCGTCTGCTGTTTCCTCATTGAAGCTGGCGCAAGTATGTCCCACGCAGTGCTTCTCCTCGCGCAGGGCATTGTTGCAACGATGACGCTGCAAGATGAGTAATCAAAGGTTACGTACGGTGGTCTACCGTCGCAAGGATGGCCACTCACCGATGCCAGCACGGGATTCTTAAACTCGCGCGTCCTGTACTGCTTGCCGGGTCCGCATTTGGTGCTGCACTCGTCCCACCTGGTCCAGGCATGGGTGGCGCACTCCGCGGGCAGCTGCTCCGCTGGAAAGGCATTCGGAATCAGAATCAGAATCAGTCAGAGTAAGTATTAAGTTGTTGTGGCTTACAGTCCGTCGATTCGCAGTTCTTCTCGTAGAGTCGCCTGCGATTGATGTGCAATGTGGCCAGAGGTTTCATCTGAGCGCCGCTGGGGTCGTAGAAGGGCGAGCGCGGATCGTTGGGGTAGTTGGACTTGATGCGGCGTACCACGTCGGGCGGCACCTGCGGCTGGTCGGCAGACTGCAACGAGAATGGATTGAGAATCGATGGCAGAGAGACGACTTGCAGACAGTGTTACCATATAGGATGGACCGCTGTCAGTGCCCGCATCCCAGGGATACAGATTGTGGACCTTGTTCTCCACCCACGAGCAGTTGGGCAGGCACAGCTCCAGCCCGGAGACACCCACAATCCAGTCGGGCGAGGGATCCACCATGGAGACCAGCGAAATCAGATGATGATTCGAGTCCACTCGAAAGACGGCAAAAGTCTTGCCCGTCACATTTGGATAGGCAATTCCCCGTGCCTTGATGATCGTGCGGATGTGCTCGCTCTGGTCCTTCAGCTCGCTCTCCAGGGTGCGCGTGGAGCCGTGCTCGGCCACCTCCCGCAGCCCCTCGCTGGCCATCTCCCCGTACTGCCAAAATCGGTACTCGATGGTGTGGGAGGCGCCGATGATGTCGCTGAATCGGGTGCGCCAGCTGTTGGCCGGGAAGTCCTTGGGGTGCGTGTGCCGCGACCATTTGCCTTCGAAAGTGAGCTGCAAATGGGAGTAGCTGCAAGTGAACTTTGAATACATTATTGGACGGTACTCACCTCATATTTGGCTTCGTCGCAGGCACAGCATGGATCCATAATGCTGGGCTGGGTGTCGATGTCGTCCACCTCCTCCTCGCACATGCGCTTGGTGAGGAAGCCATCGTCCATGAACCAGACATCGCGATGCTGCATCACGGTCGCCCGCAGCAGGATGCAGCCCTGTCCGGGGCTGGACGGCGCCACCCAGACCACATCCACGTGAGTCTTTACATTTGTGTTGGTGTTCTCCACTAGATTGGCGCAACGCGGACTGAAGCGCGTCTCGGCCAGATCCTGTAGCTCAAAGGTGCCCACTGCATTCGGATCATCCTCACCGTCCCCCGTCTCCAGGTCTAGGGCCAACATGAAGCTCACAAAGGATAGCCCCGAAAATGCACTAAGTGTCACTGGAAAAGCGGGAAAGGTTAGTTTAAAGGGCGAAGATTCCTACCTTGGCTATGTTTCCGATCCACTCACCATTGTACCTCTGGCCGGGCACATAGCTCTGGGCATTGCCAGCGACGGACAGCACATAGTTATCGTCCACTGGAGACTTGGCTGCAGTGACACCCAGCGGTATCCGATTGCATGCCTCGATTCGAGGCCAAGTCCGCGCCACTACCAGCAATAAGATGAGGCGGCACTCCAACGCTTTCATTGCGGATCGCTGCAATCAGAGAAGGAACTTTTATTCCCTTAATTGTTTTAATTATCAGCATTCGTACGGCAATGTCAATGGCAGGCGCCAGTTGTGGCTTTCTGAATTGAACTTGAATTTGCTGCTGCTTCGGGCAATCATCTATGCATACACTGCGACATGTATATACCTTTCAATTGAAGCACACCCATTTACTTTACCCAGTTTAGATGTCCATTTCTATTTTTACAGACACTTTCTATTTCCTTCCACCATTGCCATGCGGAACTTGAACCAAGCGGCGTCAGCGTTGTTTTCCCCCTTGACAATCGCATCACATTGCAATCTCATATTTAATCATTTGTTTGTACATGTGTGTAGTATATGGATACTATATAAACCGACTACGTCACTGATTAAATTCAATTGAATAACGCGCCGACTGTCCATAGGAAATGTGAGCAAAATAACAGCCCCCAGACGTCTACAAAAACAATTCCCATAGATTTCCATCATTAAAAACACTTTTGGGGCTTCGCCCTGACAGTGGAAAAAACAAAAGTAAGTCCAAAGGTAAGCCCAGTCTGAACCCAGGCACACAACAACTTATGGCATATTCAATTTACCAATGTAAAATGAATCCTTTAATTATATTTCAGGATGTTTTTAGCACTTTTTGATGGATCTTTTACGCGCTGGACAGAAAATGTACGAAAATGTTTTTAGAACGGAACGTTCTCTGGAGGCACTCGAACGGCAACTGAATGCAAATTTTGCACGAGCATCGGAACCGACAGCCAGCCCCGTCGATTATTGGCCAGACGATGTGCATCATATGATTCGTGTCGACTATGGGAGAGAGAAGCGACGCTCTTCTTTCCACTATCGTTCAGCACGGCTTCCGTTTTGTGGCGAGGCTTCGCATTTGTTGATGGGGTTCTGTTTTCGCTCGCCCATCCTAAACAAAGGGGAAATGCAAGCCACGCCACCGGGTACTGTGGGAAAATATGCAATAATAGCAAACAAAATCTAGATCTAGCTGTCATTCAAAATAACCTTGGGAAAAAGGTCTGTATTTATAATTAGTAGGTACATAGAAATCTCTAAAACTGTCTTGGGGTCAAAAATTGTTTATTTTGTTTAGTTTCATTTTATTTTTAAATCATTCTTCCAACTATGCCGACGAACACAGCATTTATTCGACGTGAGTTCTTGGTTCTTATTTCTAGGTCGAAATTATTTCACGACACATCCTTTGCAGCTAGTAAAAAAGGCTTTGGAGAGCTAAAGCTAACAATTTGAAGGTAAGTTTCGTAGGTAAAAGTGGGAAGCAAGAATTCCAAATGGAGAGTTCCCCAGTTTTCGAAGAGGAGGAATGCAGAGTCCTGCTCGGTGTCCCTCGACGACTGTGTGTCGTTGCCAGAGAAGACACAATCCTCAACCAAAGCAGAAAACTCTTGCTTCCGCAGCTAACCCACGTAGGTTTACCTTCCATTTTTTGTAATTGTTTTTAACCAGCGTCCAGAGTGCGACCGAGGAAAACTGGCATCAGACACTGGGCGAGCTGAGGGATATGCTACAGCTGTGCGAGGCACAATACAACGAAGACCTAGGGGAGCTGGCCAACACCATCGACTCCATGAGGACTGAGATGGACAACCTAATGTCTCGGTGAGTGGAGCAGCCTCATCAATTTATTCTGATGAAAACTGTTGCTTAATTATCTATAGCAATAAGGGGCTGGATCAACAGATGAAGGATTCGGAGGCTTTTGTTATCCAGGCACAGAAGGAGCTCGAAAGGAAAGAAAAGGCGAGTTAATAGACTGTCTGGAGGAGGAGTTGAAGGACAAGCGGCAGCAGAGCTGAGGATGCAACAAGCCAGGTAGAAGTGGAGAAAGATCAGATCATTTGCGATTTGAATCTGAAGCTCCTGACTTGTATGCAGTTCAAGGAAATGCTCCACAGACAACTCGAGGATATTCAAAAGCTGCAGGCGGGCAACGAAAGGCTGGATAGAAATATCCAAGAGACTGAGAGGGCTGAGATCAGGTTAAGCCCTCACTGATGTGCACAGTTAAGCACCTAAATATTGTCATTCCGAATCCCCAGTGAGCTGCAGGAGAACATGAAGAGCACGGAACTGCAGCTTGATTCCAGTTGCCAAAGGGAGCAGCAGCTCAGCTTGCCTCTCGAGCATGTCAAGTCGGAGCTGTTAAGGTCCGAGCAGCTGGTGGTCCAGTTACGGGAGGAGAACGGAGAAAACATGAGTCAGACTCAGACTGAAAACCATTAAAGTCGAGGGATGAGCAGCTGTGCCATGTCTTCAGAAAACTTAGCAGCATGCAGAGGAAGCTTATGAGCATGGAGGAGTCTATAAAACTAGTCAACGATCCGAATTATCGCCTCTCCCACCTCTGCAATGGGCAGCGTAAGAGGAACGCGACACTTCCCAACTCATTTTTGTATAACATTTCGAAAGCAATTCAATCTCCAGAAAGGTGTATGAGGATCATATCAGCATCAGCTTCAGCAGACGATCAGAACAGCCAACTCATCAGAAGAGATGCTGCTGTGTAAGTAATTTTCAGCAGGGAAACTTTCAATTGCATGGAAATTACTTTCGGCCACCTTTGCTTAGGAGCCTCAGGTAACATATTTTCCGGTAGGCATTGCAATTGCCAGGACTGGCAGCACCAAGCTCATCAGCATTAAAATTCCATGTCAGGTGGTATAGAGACAAGACAACATCGGAAATTGATCAATCGACCAAAGTGATTTATAGTTATTGTAAATATCGCTAAATACTAAGTATCACTACTTGAGTCGCTTGTATACGTATGTTCATGTGGGTTGGCTTGGGTCGTCAGTATTGGGGAATGATGATGATCAGTAGAGATGCCGCCCGGCTCAATCTGGCACAGTTAATTGAAATGATTTGCATTTTGAGGGCAGGGTCGCTGTATTTACGCTCTGCCATCGTTCGATGGGTTTCAGATACTCCCGAGGGCTGATCAATGCGAGTGCCTCAAATAAAAGATCTTGGACTTGAGTTACCCTAACAAATCCAAAGCATTGCTTTCCTCTTTGGCTGAAATTCTCAGCGCAACGAGCAGCGCGAGAGCATCACCTCGAGCGCTCATCTCGACAAATTTCTGATGCGGAGGTTTCCTAGTCTATTATCAGTTATGCTTCAGTTAGTCGCATTGGACCGCTTGCTAAAGACGGTTGACGGTGCCAATTAAAAAGAAGGACAACTTTCGGGTGGACTGGAACATCTTCTGTACGTGAGATTAGGAAGTTCTAAGGAAAAGTGAAATTGTAAGTGTAAGTGTAAGAGCTAAAGAACAATTTATCTGTCGTGTGGATTGTTTGGTGTTGTCGGTGGTTGAGCCTTGTCTCTGTGTGTGTTCAATAGATAAGCAGAGAACTTGCCACAAATGTCTCGGCAAGCATTAAGATAATGACACGAGTTTACAGCATATCTGAATCTGATCAAATAACTTTCCACTATCTGGATCAAGCACTTGGCTGGGCAAACAGTCTGCTGGATACCCACCCGAATTATATGCGGCCAACACTCTCTGTGTTAGACAGTTGTGCGTCCAGATTAGATCTCTTTTAACGATTCCAAAGATTCCGTGCATATTTGGGGACACAGTGGTGCAAGAACTGCGCAACCAGGCAGAGATTGCCATGGATGTGATTAATGGTCGCATTGAACCCGCATTGGCTAGCGATTTCGGATTGCATTTTGTACTATCAGCAAAGCGTCGCATTGTCCCATAAATTCTACATTTTCGTATAAATATTAATTGCCCGAATCCGTGACAGATAAAATTCAAAAATTCAAAAATTCAAAATTTTACTGCCATTTATTTTGAACCAGTTGCGCAGATGACTTTTAAGTTAATCCCTCTGTTTATATACCTATTTGGGCAAAGAATAGAGTCGCACCCGGTTACTGAATTTTAATCCGATGAGTGGCGATGAGTGGCGACTTAGAAACTCGATCTACACTTTTATGCGACCAAATATCAATAATAAGAACAAGAGAATAGCAGTAAACAAATTCATAAACTATCTCAATTTATGCGTACAACGTGACGCGTGCCTATTAAATATTTGTTATCCAAAAAATTGGAGTCCGTAAGCGTGCCATTCACTTGATTGCTTTGTCATCTTATCACCTGATCTGTGGTAAAGTCACGCCAATGCTAATGACCTGCGTATAAGTAGCCCCGACCTTGGTATACTGACCGATATCGCAATTTCCTTACATCCGATCTTAATAGATTTTTACTTGAGCTTTTGTGTCGTGCACTGCCAGCATTTGTCGTTTACTGTCCCAAGAATATATCCAGCCTTTAACCAATAACTATGGATGCAGCTGCAGCAGAATACCAGAGGCTGAGCCAAAGGATGGACACAGAACAGCCACAAAGGAGCTCCGTGCTCTACACCACATCCAGCGATGAGGTGGGTAGCCGAATCATTGTTGTTTGGAATGTTCTTTTGACTACTTCGATCCGTACAGCTTTCCATTAACTGCTGCCTGGACAAAGTCGAGAGACAGCTACCCCTTCAGCTGGAAGCAGAGGCAGAGTCGGTGAATGAATCCCCTGGGCAGCGCGATCAATGGAGTCGGGGACTTGAGTTCCTCTTCTCCTGTATTGCCCTGTCTGTGGGCCTGGGAAATGTGTGGCGCTTTCCGTTTATCGCCTTGGAGAATGGCGGTGGAGCCTTTGTGGTTCCCTATGTAATTGTGCTCCTCCTGATCGGCAGACCAATCTACTATCTGGAGGTAGTCATTGGTCAGTTCTCTAGTCGAGGTTGTATCAAGGCCTTTGACATGGTGCCCATTATGAAGGGTGAGTGAGTCCTCAGACAAAGATCTTTCTCTACGCTGAAATATTCCTTTTTCAGGCGTCGCCTATGGTCAGGTTTATTCCACTGCGCTGGCCACCACCTACTACGCCTGCATTATGGCCTTGACCATACGATACCTGGTGGCCAGCTTTGACGATGTCCTGCCATGGACCTACTGCCTGGTGGAGTGGGGCAGTGCTTGCGTGGCCACAGGAGCCACCGTCTCGCCGAATGGAACTGCCCTAGGCCAGGGCGTATCTTCCGCGGAACTTTACTTCACGTACGTTTCAACCAAATAACAATATTCGCCCCCGAGTCTTTTGTAGTAGCTTGCCACATACATTTCAGGCATACTGTGTTGAGGGAGCCTGAGAACCTGCAGGAGAATGGGCTGGGAACTCCCAGTTGGGACTTGGTGCTCTGCCTGGCTGCCACCTGGCTGATCATTGGTGCCATCCTCTTCAAGGGCATACGCAGCTCGGGCAAGGCATCCTACTTCCTGGCCCTCTTTCCGTATCTGATCATGCTGATCCTGTTGGCGAGGGCGTTGACCTTGCCCGGCGCCTGGCGCGGCATCGTCTACTTCCTCGAGCCGAAGTGGTCCGAGCTGCTGAATCCGCATGTCTGGTATGCGGCCATCACCCAGATGTTCTTCTCGCTGGCCATCTGCTTCGGCACCCTGGTCATGTACGCCTCCTTCAACGACTTCCACAAGAATGTTCACAAGTAAGTGGGGTGGCTGGGTGTATGCCTTTTTCCCTCCCTCTTTCTAATGCTGCCTCCACCTGCTATTAGAGATGTGATCATCATTACCAGCATCGATTCGTTCACCTCGATACTCGCTGGCTGCATCATATTTGGCATCCTGGGCAATCTGGCACATGAAACCAACACCGAGGACATCTCTCAGGTGGTACAGGGGGGAGCTGGACTGGCCTTCATCTCGTATCCGGAGGCGATTGCCAAGTTCAAGTATCTCCCACAGCTTTTTGCCGTGCTCTTCTTCTTCATGCTGCTGGTGCTGGGAATTGGATCCAATGTGGGCATGGCCAGTTGTGTGATCAACGTGATCAAGGATCGGTTTAGCCATTTGCCGCACTGGCTACTGTCCGCCAGCTTCTCTCTAGTTGGTTTCCTTTGCGGCCTGGTCTATATGACGCCGGGCGGGCAATTTGTTCTCAACCTGGTGGACTTTTATGGCTGCACCTTCATAGCCATTGTGCTGGCCATTGCCGAGCTGCTGGCCGTGGGCTGGATCTACGGGGTGAAGCGCATCTGCAGCGACATCGAGTTCATGCTGAACGTGAAGACGAGCTTCTACTGGCGCATCTGCTGGGCCCTTGTGGCCCCTGGCCTGATGTTCCTCGTCCTCGTCTACATGCTGTTCAACTATGAGCCGCTCACCTATCGAGGTGTGGAGTATCCGCGGACTGCGTATACCGCGGGCTGGATCATCTGGGGCCTGGGAGTTCTCCAACTGCCCATCTGGGCCATCTACACGATCTACCAGCAGCCGGGAAAGACTTTCAGCAGCGTAAGTGGAACATTCTCCTCGCTCCAATCCGAAATATCCTGTAAACAACTCTATTTTTTCAATCTTCTAGAAATTTAAGATGGCGCTGCAGCCCACAGCGGACTGGGGTCCTCGCCAGCCGCAGGAGCTCGAGGCCTACATCCTGCACAGGAAGCGCCAGGCAGAGTTCAAGCCCCGACGCGGTGGCCACCTCTGTGACAACATTTTCGGCTAAAAATCCACATATGTACATTACATTTTGTTTTCATTTAATTTTACGCTTTATTATTAATGCCAAAACGCACAAAACTTTTGTTTGCTGCAAGCTTTAATTATGACAAAAAAGTTGTTTGTTTGGTTTGTTGAGAACAAATGTCTAACAGTTTGTAATTAATTTCCTTTATGGCTTAGGCTTAGCTTAAGCATTAAAAGAGTGGGTTTTAGGATTGTAAGTACTCGTAATTATCTAAAAAAAACCACAAACAAAAAAACAAGATAATTTTAGAAAATATAAGCCAGAGACCTCTGAAGCATTTCTTAGATGGCAGCTACTTAGATGGAATAATTGTCTTTGACTGGTTGAATCCCTTGAATACCTTGAATTTCACCATTCCGTCTTTTAAGGAATACGAACGAATTATACATTTGGTTTATCTTTTTGTGTTGCTCCTCTCTGCTTTAGTTTAATTATCACAGCACTTTTTTGATATTGTTTTTATTGTGCAAAATTATATGTCGCTTCAACAGAATCCATGAGCCTGGTCTCTGTGTGTGACTCTGTGTGGAGCGCAAGTGCTTAACCAGTTCTCCTCACATATAATTATACTCTCCCTCTCTCTCTCTCCCGATCTCTCATTCTCTTTCTATATATTTATTTGTTATATCATTAAGCTATTTAGTATGTCTCTTTATAGTAAGCTTAGTGGCAAGCTTAAGCCAAGCAATAATTTGTTAAATTAATTATTGAAAATCTTTGGTTTGGCCTGCAATCTCAGCTACATATAAAAGTTAAATTTGATGTCATTTTTTGAACCTCGAAACGGAGTAGATTTTGGTTTTTGTTTTGTTTTTTTTTTCTTGCTTATTTTTGGCAGATTTCTGTTAGATTTGTGCAAAGTTTTCCCCCGACCCTATTGCGGCTTTTCTGATCTGCAACCTTCCCCCCCCCATCGACAGTGTGACGAAAATTTCTAGGTTTTATGCTAAGAATTGACTCTTGGTTTGCGGTTTTGTTAGCCTACTTTTCAGCGCGAAAAATTCAGCGTTTATATTTGTTGTTTTCTGTGTTTTGTTTATACTACATAATAAGTACATACGAAGTTGTTTTAAACTCTTGATATATCTAAGTTAAGTTCGAATTCATATACATATAGTAGTTCTGATTGATTCGCTAATTTATTGTGGCTAAAATGGAAGTTCTTCGCTAGCAACTCTCACTAGATATGGTCCTATTTATTGGGTCTGTCTCCCTAGACGACGTTTGATAGCAAAATCTAAAATACGATATGAGTTACCTTGAGTATAGTGTCTCCTACTTATGATATGAGCCTATCGAGTGTTCATTGGCAGATGCTGATCCGTTTCTGAGTTGAGAGAGTTTTAAAATTTGTTTAGGCCTAGTAAATATCGAATCAGAATCACGTAACAGGTGCAGAGTCCATCGCATTGGTAATGCAGTGTTTCATTGTTTCATTTTTAGTTTTAGTCGAGTTAAACTATGTATTTATAGCTGATAGAAAAATATTGGGCGATGCCATCTAGAAGGCCTGTATTGGTCGATAGAGTCCCGTGTAGCCGCACAGCCTGGCCCGCATGGCCGGGATGAGGAAGGCGGCCAGGGAGATGTCCTTGAGCAAGTCCGCACACTCACACACCAGGAGGTACATCTTGTCGCCCTTCTGCGAGGTGCTCTTGTGCAGGGCAATGCGCCGCAGCCCCGCCGCACGTGGCAAGTATCTGAAATGTTCCATGCACGAGTGAAGGAATCAACAATACAATTCCAGGCCAAATCAGGCGCTCGCCCTCATACATACCTGTACAGCATCCGGGCGCCTGTCCAGTAGAGCCAATTCTTTTCAAACCTTTCCCCATCGTCGCCCTCGAACACCTGCGGAATTAAAATTGAATTTTTCATGAAATCCGTGGAATCATTCGACCTGGCAGCGGCAGCGCCAACCACCTGCCTTGAACACAGTAATAATGTAGCCGGTGGCCGCGGTCTGCGACTTCTTAAAGCTCCCGGCCTCGTTCGATGGCAGGACCAGCGGCGGCCGGCAAATGGACGCCACCTCGCTGTAAAGATCAAGAGTGTGGGCGGCAGTGTATCTGAAATGGGTTTCAATTGAAGATTGAAAATATCATGGGAAACATTCAAGTGGACTCAACTCACTTGAGGGCCTTTGGCTCAAACTTAGACAGCGATGAGACGCGTAGGCTGGCATAGAAATTGGAAGGATCCGTTTGCAGCGTATTGATGAGATAGTACGAGATGAATGGGAATTCGGCTGTGAAAGAAAGTCAGCCAAGTAAACGAGAAGTTCCACTACCTCCAGGAGAGTTACACTTACAGTTCTTCTCCATGTTGGCCAGAAGCATGCCGCCCACGGCCGTGTTGGCCTGCTGCACCTCCGTCACCAGCTCGGAGGCAATTGAACGCTGCTTGAGCAGCGGGTGCGCCAAGGGTGACTCCATGACGGGATCGATGGCCTCCAGCGGACTCATCAAATGCACCAGGATGCATAATTTCGGATCGGAGACTTCAAGAACGCTCAGCGGACTGGCCGTCTTGCCATCGGCACTCAGAGCGGGCAGCTACAAGATGGAGTTTTAGATCTCGGAGATCATAGGTGGGAAGAGCTGACTTACCGGTATACCGGCTGGCAGGAAGCGATCCACGCTATGCACGGGAATGATGAAGCAGTCCCGATCCAAGGTGGCCAGTGAGATCGGCTCGGCTCGCGTGACTCCAGTGTGGCCACCACCACCAAAGTTCACTGAAAAACGCAGTAACTGAATATTAGCGATCGAGCTTGATAAGCTAAGCAAGTGTACAGTTAACGGCTTAGTTGAATAGTTAACCAACGGCATCGATGGCAAGCTTTCGATGGCAATTACAACACTCGAATGACGGAAGCCTCTCATTGATTTGATCCAGTGCGTTTGTGAAGCATAGAAAAGCTTTGCCTTAGGGTTTAGTAAAGTTATGGGAGACTGATCATGTGGATCTCTGTCATTCCTTTATTGGCTCCTCCACCCAATGCTCTTTCTGTGTTGTTTGTGGTTGGTTGCTAACAAACAAAATGTTACCAACAAATTACTGAAAGCAGCTCCTCTCCGCTCTCTCGCTTTCAGTAAAAAACAATCTCAAATGTTAAGTAAAACAAGGTAAACAGAGACGAACAACCGTAGGAACTGTATCTGTAACGGTAGGTTAGCTACAACGTGCAAACACACAGAGTTTAGATGGGGAAAATTGGTGTAAGTTTTGGTATTTGGGGTGTTTTGGTGGGTTCGGTTGTGAGTTTGGGATTGAAACTAGAGGAGTTTGGGTTTGATTTGTGTGCGATTGTTTGTTTGTGTGGGTGCGTGTGAGCATTTTGGCAATGACGTTAGTGGCTGATCGATTGGGCAGCAACAACAACAACTAGTTGAGACCGTAGATCCAGTTGGATCGAGTCTATGTGGGATATTTTTGAGGAGATTCAAGTTCAAACCTTGCCGCGTGGCTGCAGCCGCGGCCGTTAGCAACGTGGTTGTTGCATTGGCCACTGTTGCATCACCATATCCCAAGGTTGTTGTTGCTGTTGCCAAGTGATGCTGCTGCTGCTGCTGCTGCTGATGTTGCTGCTGCAGGCGTAGCATACTGTTATTCGCACTGCTGCTGACAGTACCCGGTCCGCTGCTACTGCTATTCCACCGCATCAGGGAAAAGGACGGCCGGCGGTCGACCAGCGGCTGTGGGGCGTCCAACTCATAGGGCAGGTTGCCGGGCAGGGCGAATGACGTGGCTGTGCTCGATATCGGGGTACTTGGTATGCCTGAGAATGCGCTACATCGTTCTGCAATGGATTCTCTCGATATTTATAAGGACACAAACACGCAGCAGTCAAACAACAAACAACATACGAAATGAGTGTGTGCGTGTGTAGGTGTGTGTGTGTGCGTGTGTGTGTGTGGGCAGGGGAAAATAATAAATAACAATTAGGTTGGCTTTCCATGGAGCTGGATGATGTTCGGGAGAGTTGGCTCAATGGATTCGAACTGCTATTATTCACAGGGGACGAGACAAGACACATTCATCAGTTTCTTCTGTTTTGGGTTAGCTTGGTGGGCTTTGGGCTATTTGTTGGATGTCGCAGCCAACTCGCAGCCACACCGCCAACCGCCCACCGCCTACCGCCAAAGTGAGACTCAAGGCCATTGCCAGGGAAGCAGGAAGTGCAAAAAGTTAAAGGGGAATACAAAAAACACTTACATACGGCTGTGCTCTAGCTCTCTGTACGAGTGTGTGTGCTCTGTGCCCCTGAAGCCAAGCCAACTGGAAATCGGAAGATTAGCTTATGCTTCCACTCACACCCCTACGAGTAGTAGGAAGACCTAAACAGGCACAGGCACAGGCACATGCATTGAAGATGAAATGTGGAAGAGAATGCAGGAATTTTGGTATGATAACTCTGCGACTTCTGACCATCGTACTTACTACTTCGCATTCTTTTGGAATTCTCTTATAGTCTCACTAGGTGGGAATTCATTTTGAATTAACATTAAAACTGTTTGCCAATTGATAACAATTTACATTTATTTTCCAATGTACACATGTTTTTAGTCTGTTTTTGTCTCTCTTATAAATACTTAAATCTCCATTATCTTCCCACCTTTGAGTAGTATCCATCGTGCCCATAAGCTGTTTGTTAGACTGATTGGAACATTTCAATGAATGCACTGCAAATGGATGAAATGTAAATGTGGGGTTACTGGAGCACAAGTGACGGAGGGCCTCGCTCAAGCGAATACAAGGGGATAAGTAAAAAAGGAATGACGGAAAGGAACAAGAGAGTGAGAGAATGGGAGTGGGGTGAGCCATGTTTGTGGATGATTGAAATGGGCGCTAGGAGAAACGGAACATTTGCTTGTGCTGTGCTGTTGGTTGTTGCTGCTGCTGCTCTTGCTGTTGCTGTTGCTGTTGTTAGTGCCGCAAGGCGAACGTCAATTTACCTTCGCCCACGTCATAGCCAGGACGATTGGGTGAGAAGAACAGGTGTGTTCGGTAGTGGATCTCCTCCGGCTGCTGCACGAGGCCCATGTCCCGCGACCGTTTCGTCCGGTTCGCCTTCGACTGTAGCTTCCCGCCGCCGCCGCCGGACTTGCTTGCCCCCTCGCGGAAATTCTTGCGGAACATTAAATTCATCGTGAGTACAGGGGGGTATGTGGTACGGGCTACGCAGTGTAAGAGACTTGTTGTTGTGGTGTGGGTGGTGGTGGTGCTCTTTGTCCTGTTTGACCACCGCTCTTACCAAGCCGGAAGGAGCACGTGTGTGCGGTTGTGTTGGCTGTGTGGGTGAGTATTGGGGTATATGTTGGTTGGCTTCTTTGTTCGCTTGTGGGGCTTTCGCTTTTTGTTTGTTATCTCATTTGTTGTGTGGCTGTGGATTTCATTTGGATAACTTTCAGTTATTTTCGTTTTTTTTGTTGCGCTTTCGCTTTGTTAACTTTGTTATTATCAGGAATTTGTATTAATTTTTGTTTTAAAGGACTTTCCATTTACTTGCCCTTAGCCAAGGACAGAAAATAATGATAACAGGTGTAGAAAAGTTATCTCCATGTGTTTTGGGTTACTTCAAGGGAAACAGTCGACTATCGACCGCTGGCTTATTTTGTGTGTGTGTAGGAAATATGCAGGATGTTCAATCATAGAAATAGTTGAATGGGGAAGAGAGTCTTTAGGCTTAAGGCTTAAATAATGCTACAATTTTACAGTCGTTGAATGGGCACCCATTTACTTCACCGAAGAGTGTCGACGCAGTACATACCCTGCTCTAAGAGAGAGAGAGTGGGTAGCTTCGTAGACACACGCAATCGTTTCGTCGCCTTCCGGTTCGTTGACTTGGTCGTGAGGCCGTACCAAAATGGCTGTTGTCCGCGGTAAAGTGGCCCAAATGGCTTTCAGGGTGTTTGTGTAAGTGCCGGTGCTGGTTGGTATGTACAAAACTGTATTTGCAAGTGTGCGCGTGTGAGGAGAAAACGGCTTACGGCTTACGGAAATTGCCGGTTTCCGTCTCAAAATTACTTAGCTCAACCGAACTGAACCAAACTTTCAGGATACGTAAGAAGCAAAGGGCAACCAGAGAAAACAGGGCAAAGTGGAGAACCTGGAGAACCGGAAGCAGCGGGAAAAAACGGAAAAAAGCGGGAAAATAAAATTCCAAATGCTTGGCAATTACGATTGCCTCTAAGCTAAGGCTACTAAGGCACTCTCGGCTGGAAGGTGTCAGTGTGTATCCTGAGACACGTTTGTGTGAGTTTAATTAGTTCAAGACACGGCGCAATTAGTTTTATGGTCGCTTATTGATTGTCTGGCGCGATAAATTTAGACAGCTGTTTCCGAGAGCCGAGCGGTGAACGGGGGGGATGGATGTTGCAGGAACGTTGGACCGACTTTGAGTACAAATTGAAAAGTGCTTAGCCAAGTGCTGGGGCCATTTACAAACAGCTTGCTGGCAGGCTTAAATGAAGCATAAAAGGCTGCTCCCAAGTTACCAGGCAAACTCAATTTGAAATTAGTCAAAGTCTGCGAAGGAAGGGCATTCCACATAAAGGGAACTCTTGGCTTTTCTCCAACCAACTTGAGGCAATTCCGGCTAATCCCATTAAACTTGATGTGAAACGAAATTGGCAAACTTAATCTTAATGAAATGTCAAGAAGTTTTCTCATAATAATTTGAAGAATGATTAAGCCATTAGGAAGTCATAATTTGCACTTGCATTATGTGTACTCTCTGGTATCAAGTAGGTTTCCGCCTGTTTATTACTCATACGCAGCATAGCTCAAATGGCCAAAGGCCCCAACTGCATTTCCATCAACAAAGTTCCTTTCGGCACCCACTTAAGCTCTGTTTTCAGCACTCCCTCAATCACGCAGGCCATCAACGAAACCAGAAATCTAACAGAACCACGCCAAAATGGATCGTAAACATTTTTACAGCATTCTCAAGTGGCTGGGGCCCCAATCTTATTAATTGTTTTTACGACCCCAGTTACAGCAATAATAATGCCTATCATTAAACATCCAACATACATATGTACATACAAATCAAACAATCAAACAATCAAACGGCCAAGAGATCAGATCTGCGGGGCAAGAGCAAGGCGGGAGATAATAACCACAGAAAATAAAGGAAAACAATTTCGGGAAGCCGCATTTCGTTTCGTTTTCTGGCCAAAAATAAACAAGCTAATGAAATACAATTTTTGCGTCTTCTCCTCTGCCAAAATAAACCCAAACGAGCAAGAAGAAGAGTCACAAAAATTATAAAATTAGAATTTTGCCAACAAAGAGAGCGAGAGAGAGCGTGGGGTGGAGAGGGGCATACTCGTAGAGCATCGAGAGTGTGCTGTACATGACCTAGACAGGTAAGGTAGCCCGGTCGGACGGCCCTTGACCTTGCCGTGTGTGAATCGTAAACTACATACATATCACGTGCATGAATGTGTGTGTGTGTGTGTGTGTGTGTGAAGTGCCAAAGATTTGGGTGCTGTGCCACATCTGAGTGTGGCCGATACCTACATATAGATACATGTGCCTGGCTCTGTCGATTGGCAATCTGAAATCTGATTGCTGAAAGAGTCAATTCATTTATTTCTTTAATCTTTAAATCTCTTAAACATCTGCAAAGTATTAGAAATTCCACGGGTTAAGGATCCCAAACAGGCATCTAACAATATAAGTAGCACTTGTTTAACCCTTCTGAAACAGCTAAACTGAATATGTGCAGGTGTGAAACAATGGAACAATTGAATTTTCATTTGGAATATCTTTTGTTTGTTGGCATTTTATCTTTTTATTGCCAAAGATATTTCACTTTCTCCATGCTTGCACGTATACAAAAATCGGTTCAATTATGGTTTAATTGGACTAAAACTGAGGCCACATGTAATTTGGTTTGCACTTTAATCAAAATTTTGGGGCATTTTCCGCTTTGCCAAATTGGTTTCAGCTAGTTTTAGCTGCAGGACACAGCGACGCAGAGGCACAGACCGACCGTGGTTCTCTTTGTGCTGCAGCCGTTTCGTTTGTGCGTAATATTCAGACTAGGACTGCTCGGCCCACTAATTGGTTTAATTCCACATAAGTGTGCAGACCCGAGTCACGACACTTAAACGAGCACTATCCAGATACACATGTAGTGTATCCAAAGCTATGCGTCACCCGGTGGGGGGGGCCAGGTGGCAATTAATAGAGAAATTGGGAGACCTTATCGATGGGACGATTGAAGGTTTTTCCAATATTCACACGCTTTATTCAACGCGCTCCTTCCGACGCCACAACTCAAGGAATTATGAATGTTGTACGAACATGAACAGCCCGCGTCGCGTCAGATATACAACTGGCACTTGGAGAGCTTTTCCGCTGACAGGCGGCCATGCCATGCTGGCGACGGCGCTGTCAGATCTCTCATCGCTCGCACGGCGAGCGTTTTTCATTAACTTTACATGCTACTCTATAACTTAAATATATGAAAAATGACACAACAGAACAGAACCAAAAACAAACGAACAGCAGACTGAAAGCTCTGGCCTGGTTGGTCTGGTCTTCGTCACTTGTTGCGCATACGCCGCTTGTGACGGACCGCTAATGCGACTGTTAGGCTCTGCCTGGGGCTGCCGCTCACGTGTACGTGTATTACAGTGATTCGTCCCAATACCAAAACAGTGCAATGATATGTTTTGCGTGCTGCCGAGCCCTGCTTTATATGCAGGTACATATATTTAATACACATCTGTACATAAATCAATATACCCTATTTACCCTTCGAGTATAGGGCATAAATATGAACCTACC